CCTAGAGCGTTTAAAAAACCTTTTCGAATGAGAAAATCATTAAGTTCTCCAAAGATGAAACCTTGTCGTTTACCTACTGAAAGACAAAATAGAATTGTACCTTCTTGATTTCACTTCTCAGAAGTTTCAGCTCTGTCTCGCTTGAATTCAAGTTACTGGGCAGTGGATCCGGATGCTCATTGTTGATAGATTGTGATTTCAGCTTATTTTTGGAGTGCTTCTTAGCATTTGTTTTAACTTCAGCCACGACTCCAGATTCAATATGAATCTCAGTTTTTTTCTTACACAAACCGGAACAAAAGTCATGCAAATTGAAAGCCTTGTTTGTTCATCATTTGTTGGGGAAATGTTGCCAAACACCAACTACAAATAAATAAATAAAAGTTAGCAATCATGATTTTTTTTTTTTAAAAAAAAGACAACTTATGTATAAGAAATGTATCAGAAATGCATAATTAATGTATCAGAAATGTATCATAAATGTATCAAAAATGTATCATAAATGTATCAGAATGCATAATTAATGTATTAGAAATGTATCAGAAATGTATCATAAATGTATCAAAAATGTATCATAAATGTATCAGAATGCATAATTCATGTATCAGAAATGTATAAGAAATGTATCAGAAATGCATAATATGTATCAGAAATGTATATTTTTTTTTACCTGATCTTGACTTAAAACAAAAAACTCTTTCCTCAACCTCTTAAACGTCACCTTCTTCTTTACTTGCCAGTTAAGTATGCGTGGAACAAGCTCTCCAATCCGGTAAGCGAGGTTTTTGCGACTGTAGGGGCAGCATTCATAAAACCAACACTGGAATGCCAAAGGCAAACCACCATATCGGTACATCTCTCTCCTGCTACGAACCTTATCCTTCATTGACTCCAACGTAGCATTAAAAATCACTTTTCCCCAAGGGAAAGTCTCAAAATCACCAGATTCAACCAACAGAAAATCATTCTTTGTAATCAAATCATCATTCGTAATAGAAAACAGGAAACTGTGAGTGAAATACAATACTGCAATCTTTAATGCATCCTTATCAGATTTCCACATCTTTTTTAAGAAACAGTCAGTTAACAATTTCTTAGACACTTTCGACATGCTTGGAAAGTACAATTCCATTAACCGACTCGACTGTACAGATTCATACTCCTTATCGGGATCACCATTACACTTTAAACCTGTGATAATACAAAACTCTGCAAGTCCAAAGCGCAACTTGGTGCTATTCACTTTAATCCATAACTCATTATCTTTAGGTGACACTACTTCCCTAAGCAATAGTGAATGGATAAGTTGGTTCTGTATAAAAAATTCGGGCAAGTCCACAAAATAACCAAAACATGTTCTTCTAAACATCTCAATCTGCTGATCATCCAAATTATCTTTCAAATGTTTCATTATACTGCAGTTTGTATGCACACTAATACGGGTACTATAATGATCACCCAAAGGAACATAGTAATCCAAAGCTACAAACAACACAAAAATATAAATATATATATAAGCTTCATAACAATCACAATTACGCACTTTAAACATTACTTATACAATATGTGGATAGATGATACACTTTATATACAAAAGTTGCACATTACTTATTGACTTGATACACATTATATACAATATGAAAAAGAATGATACATTTTATATACAAATCTGGAACGTAACTGCTATATTGGTTATCTCAAATTTCTACATATTAAAATAAACTATCCGCACACAAGTCAAAGTTATATCATTAGAAAATACCTTCAAATCAGATGAACTAGAACATTTTTTATCAGCATGAACTTTTCTCTTTTTTGATAGAACATCATCCTCATCACTTTTAGCCTTCCTTTTAGAACCTTTACCCTTATCCTTCACAATATCCTTTCCCACTATTTTAATCTTTTTTTTGAACTTGTGCCTTTTTCAACTACTACATGCTGAGCAGTGTGTGACCTCGTTACTCTATCGCTGGGAGTCCCGCTATGAGAACGAGTCTTTCTATCAACAGGGTTATTTTGCTTACCTTCACTAGGGGTATTTTGCTTACCTTCACTAGGGGTATTTTGCATTGATTCAACAAATTTATGGGTTGCATGCCCCAAATCGCACCCAAATTCTGGTAATTTTTCAAAATCGTCATCATCATTCCTAATGAAATTAGGGTCATATTTCACTAATTGACCGGCTAATTTCAGAGAATTTGGAGATGCCTTCATCTTCCTTTTTTTCTTCTTCATCAAAGACTTCTTTTCCCCCATTATAGAGACGAATATGAACAAAAACCGGAAAACCTAGAGTCGACTATGAACAAAAATCGGAAAACCAACTGAAATTTTGACTTACACTGAAACCAAGAGTAAAAATGCAGAAGGTGTATTTGAGAAGAAAAGTGTTTTGAGAGAGCCGGCTTAACGGAACGAGTTAAAAGGCGTGGGTGTTTTATGGATTATGGGCTAGTAGATGTAATAAGTTTGGGCCGGAGGGACATTTCGGGTCCAAGGGGAAAAACTTGGGCTATTAAAATTTGGGGTTCTGGCATGGCATAACAACATACTCATATAACTGGCAGAAAATGACCCTAGTTATAGATATTGGCATCAAATAGCCAATAAATGTATATCACAATAATAATATGTATATCACAACTTTTTTTCTTCTTCTTTGTCTATATCAACATGTATATTAAAATTTTATTTTCAATCTTTGTATATAAATAATATTATTCTTTGTTTATCAATAATATAAAATTATATATATATATATATATAGTTATTGCTGCCTTTATATAATGTATATCACAATAAAAAAAATTATATTATTTGTATATCACAGTGTATAGCACATCGGACATGTGTATACCAAAATTGTAACCCATGTATATCGCTATGTACATCAGTGATATCTTATGTATATTATGTGTATCTGTGTATATCTATAAAAAATTGTGTTATATGTACGATATACAATGTGATATACATGGGCGTCCGTAAAAAAATTGTGCTGTATACATGATATACAAAGTGATATACACAGACGTCCTTAAAACCCTGTGGGTGATATATATTGATGTACACGATATACAGTGTAATATACACATGTCGTAGTTGAATTTTTAGGTCTGATTTTTTATTTGAAACCAATCTAAATCACTTCTAATCTTTCTCAAATTTTGTATATAGCCTCGTTAGGTATTTTCAACCAATTTCAATCACACCCACTCATTAAATCTAACCAAAAGAAAAGGAAGAGAGAAGAAAAACAAAGTTGAAATATATTTTTTCTCTCTTAGTTTTTGCTAATCTTGCTCAAATTTTGTATATGGCCTCGCTTAGATATTTTCAACCAATTTCAATCACACCCACTCATTCAATCCAACCAAAGAAAAAGAAGAGAGAAGAAAAACAAAGTTAAAATATATTTTTTCTCTCTTACTTTTTGTTTCTGATTTTTTCTGATGTGAGATCAACCTTACCTTTTCATCCCACTAATTTTTTTTTTTTGCATAATTTGCAAGAACTTTTGCTATACTATGAGAGCAAAAGAGAAGAGATAGAAGAAGAAATACAAGGAGAGAAAGGGGGAGGAAAGCCAAAATAAGCGTGTAGTTTTCTTGAGAGAGAATATAAAAGAGAGTAGTTTTTTTAAGATTTGGCTATATAATGCAAATTGTTTGGGGCTATCTTTGCCAAACCTAATATAAGGCTAAAAGTTTGCCAATTCCTATTATGTGTTGTTATAGGATGCCAATTTTTCTTAAAATTTTGAAGGGCTATACAGGGTAGTTTTCTCAAAAAACACTTTTCCGAACTCCAACGGGTATTTTAAAGGAGAAAATCTCCAGTGTGAGATTAGTATTCGTAGAACATACGAAAGAATAATCCTTATTCCTCACAAGCCTAATTCCCTAATCTAACTGTCAAAAAATGGCTAGACGTTGCCACGTTTTGTCCACCGAATTTAGATTTAATCTGATGGTTGTCCTTATTTCACTGGCATGTCTAACACCGTTCCAAATTAATTATTACTTAATTAGTGCATTCCTAAAAAAGGTACAAAATATGTCATAAGGTATGAGCTATGACTATAGTGAAAAACGAATATGCTGAGAATTTCTCTTACTTCATCGTCCCTTTTAATTTACTTTTCGTACTGCCACTTCATCACCTCCAAGTATATGCTTTTAAAATATTCTAAATTCATATACCCTTCTTTTACGTTATAAAACCCAAACTTAACTGATATTTTTGTTTTTCATTACACACACTAATACTCCTCTCCTCTTCCCTTCAATTTTGGATCAATTTTGTTTTTATACCAAATTTTGGTACAAATAGGTATAGGAATTTTGTGTTTTTCTTAAATAAGATTAATGAAGTTCGGGAAGAGATTGAAGCAACATGTTGAAGAAACGTTGCCGGGGTGGGGGGATAAGTTTTTGTCGTATAAAGATTTGAAGAAATTAGTGCGGCTGATTTCATCAGCTTCTCCGGCAATGTTGAATGGATCGGAGACGGAGTTTGTTTACTTGTTGAACAATGAGATTCACAAGTTCAATGCTTTCTTTGTGGAACAAGAAGAAGATTTTGTTATACGACATAAGGTATTTTATTTGTATTGTTCAATTCCTTCTTGTGTAAATTAATTTTCTGTGTTATCTTTGTTTTGCATTTCGACACTCTTTTGTAGAGTGGACATTTGAATTTTGAGTAAATAGGATTGCTTTCATGTCTTGAACAAGTCAAAGTGCAAATAGTAATCTTATTTGTAAGTCAAACGAGTCGGTCTTAAATTCCTAAACTACCCAACTCGGTTACTTGTTTAACGTAAAAAAGCTGGTTAACTTTGACCTCACACTATACATTCACATCCCTGAGTTGCTACGATAAGTATTTATTAATTCGGTGCTTTTGCCGAACCAATTAACATTACTAATAAATACTCCTTCCGGTCCAAAATAAGTAATTTTTTGGCCTTTTTGTGGGCCAAAATAAGTGATGTTTTCAGATTTTAAGAATGAATTAATTATTTTTTTCCTACATTTCCCTTGGAGTAAATAGTGTTGGAGTATGTGTTAGGAGTGTTTATGTGAAGAGATAATAAAAGTTAACACGATCAATTTCGTAATTAATTAATGTTAAAATATGAATCTCTTAATCTATATAAAAACAACAAAAAAAATCACTATTTTGGACCCGAGGGAGTAAAAGTTAAAGTGAGAATGCAGTCACTTGACCATGTCTTTATATCCTCGTATTTTGCGATGTTATGGCAATGCACAACAAGGGCAAATATAGGAATCTTCCTCAAATAACTTTTCTTTAGATCTTTTCAACTTATTTCTTAGTTATAATTTATTTAGATTTGCCACATGTGCCTATGATCATGCTACTTTTTCCACTAATGTACAACTCCTATAAACTTTATAAGTTTTATCTTTTTTTTTTTTTTTAACTTTATGCAATTTTAGGTAAATTTTATATGTTTATTTGTTATTTTAAATCTCATGTACCTTTTGAAATTTTTGCATTTTCCATTCCGTACCCTTTCTACTCCTTTCACTAATTTATTACTCTATAATGTTTACTTTTCTTTTTGCTGCACTCAAGATAGTAATAACATAGGTGTAAATTTAAATAAATAAATAAATAAACTTGTGGCGTAGAACTGAAACTAGTCTTCTCTCTTTTAAGAAAATTTTGTTCGTTGCTCCAACTCTCTCTTTCTGTAGTCCTGCTGCAACCACATTTTCCCCTTCAACCTCAATTTTAAATACTTAAACACTAATGCTACTAAATTAGATTGATCGAAAATTCATACTCTATTTGAATATGCAGGAGCTGCAACAGAGGATACAGATAGTGGTTGATATATGGGGCCCAAATGGGAATGAACCCTCAGAGACACGTTACACAGAGGAAATGTCAAAGATTAAAAAAGACATCGTCGATTTCCACGGTGAAATGGTCCTCTTAATCAACTATAGTAATATTAACTACACAGGTATATTATGAAGGATTCCGTCCATTATAATTTACAATACAGTTGTTCCATAGGTAGCTTGACTCGATACAAAATTTAGAGAAAAAAACTTTTGAAATTTGGGGTTTTAAAAATTTAAAAGGTAAAAATATTTGTGGGTTCATAATATTTGCGTCGTTGTAAAAACTTCTCACTAAGGATAAACTTGGTAAAATGAAAATTTTTAAGTTAAATTATTTTTAAATATAAAAATATGTTATTCTTTTAGAACGAACAAATAAAAAAAGTGTGCCAAATAAATTTAAACAGATGAAGTAAATTCCAAAAACCTATACAATAAAGAAAAGAATTTCAAGAATTAAAATCATTTTAATATGATTTAAGTTATTTAATTTACATTGAGATTGTAAAAATTTTATCATTAGTATTCAATATAATTTAACATGTGATAATAGATTAATTATCATATTTACCATATTATCAATTAATATTCATTATAGAGATTTACTAGTAATTACGTTAACGTGATCTCAATTATAAAGAGAAATTCAAAAATAGCCAGATTTACCACTGGTCGTTGAAAAATAGCCAAGTTTCAAAAGTCATCGAAATTTAGCCACTTTAAATCTGAGCGAAAACACTGTTCAAAATCCGGAAAAATACGCCCGCAAATTTTACGGGAGTTCCAGCATAAGTATGCTTGAACTCCCGTAAATTTTACGGGAGTTCCAGGATAACTATGTTGGAACTCCCGCAAATTTTACAGGAGTTCAAGCATAATTATGCTGGAACTCCCGCAAATTTTACGGGAGTTCCAGCAAGTATAATTGTCCAGCATAATATACTGGAGTTTGGAGCACTGGTGCTCCAGTCTCCCGCAAATTTTACAGGAGTTAGCAAAGTATACCGGTCCAGCATAATATGCTGGAGTTCGTACACAAATGCACCAGAACTCCCGTATATTATACTGGACCGGTCCCTGTTGCAGCAAAATAGTGGCTATTTTTCATTGACTTGATAAACGTTGGCTATTTTTCATTGACCGGTGTGAAAACTGGCTATACCATGATATTTTAACCAGATTTCTCTCATCGACATATAAGGAATAGGGCTGTCAAATTTGACTCAAGCCCAAATGACCCGCCCAACCCACTCAAGGTTGGGCTAGTTATTGACTCAACTCAGCCCATCTTGACCTAACAAATCTCAACCCATTTAAAGTTTGGCTGATGTTTAGCCCCAATTGATTCATGAGTAACTTTGTCAAAATATCCTAGAAATAATATTTTTTGTTGGACGTGTTATATATATGATCATAACAAAAGAAAAATCTTATGTAGTAATTATACAATTCATAAGAAATTGGCAGCTCTACTTATGACCATTTCTCAATGCCACCTCTCAACTTGCTAGAATCTGATGTGATCCAATCTTTGCATCTCAACACAGCCATAGCTCTACCCTGATCGAGCTTTATGTTATTATGTCACAATTCTTATTTACATGAAAGTAAGCAACCCAAAAACTCGTCCTCAGTTTGAATTACATGCTATAATTCTCCTGCATGAAGGGAAAATCACTAGTAATTGCCAGTTAGTCATACAACGGTGAAATGTATCCCTTTTTTTAATCAAGAGAAACTAAGACTACATGTCATTTAATCACCCTGTTTTTTTTTTTTTTTTTTTTTTTTGGTTGTGATATGCACATGGTGTTGGATGTAGTTAATTTCTTGCGGGGGACATCCTCACGAATGAGAAATAATTATATAGTATATGTTATATAGGTGATGCATGAGTTGCCGTTTTCACGTGTCAGCCTGCTTATTATTTATATGCGTACTACCTATTTGATAACTTACGCTGAATTATGTGATTAAAGAAGTAATGAGTTCTATTATGAGAAAACTATCGAGACGCATTGTTTACTCGTAAAACGGTATAGTTGAATTTATAACGTGATTTATAAACAAGTGAATCGACTTGACCCAAAAAATAAGAAGTAAATAAAAATAGAAATAAGATTATCAAATGAAACAAAGAAGATAATAGGCCTGACTCACGACTTAGCCTTTACGAGGAAAAAAGTAAAAGCAATTGTTCAGGTGTTCAAATTGAGCGTAACAAGATAATAGAGTATGGCTTTTGTGTACAGAGATTTTCCTATCTTTATAATGGTTGTTAATCCTGCTATTTATAACAATACTTAGGGAGACAAGATCCTAAAATCAAGCTCCTCTTGAATGAAAATAAAAACGTCATTGGCTGCCTAACGGCTGGCTTTGAATATAGATATTCTCTGTAACGGATGCTCATTAAATGCTATCCGGTGTCTAATATTTGAATTTTTATTATTGGCTATGCTTCCTTCGGTATCCATCCAGTATCGGTTACACACTTCACACTCGGTGCCAGTTATTTGTTGACTCACCTTTTGCCTGTTTTCGATTTGCCTGTCTTCTGTTCCACGTGTCACCTCACCGTTTGACCATCTGTTATCAACCAATTTCACCTCATACAGATAGTCCCCCTACTTTTCGGTGATGCAACCCAGTGTTACCCGAAAGTAGATGAGAATTCCTTTTTTGGAGGGAACGTTCCTGAACGGTCTCTGACACTCGAATAGACGCACGCCTTCTCGCATTTAATACCCCGAACACGTATTGCCCCGTGATTTAGCAAGTTTTTTCGCTAGTTTTTGAGGTAATCATGACCATGATTTTTGTCGTCTATAACTTCTCTACTACTCATCATTTTTACTTCTTCACTTTCACTACTTCCACAACTCTTTCTCCTTTTCTGAATTTCCTTAGAACTTTCCTAAAACATTCAACTTTCCCATTAAGAACTTCTTCACTATTCTTTTACCACCATGTCTTCATACACTGCTATCTTCGGAAATACTGGTCTTCTCATCAATGGAGGCCCAAAGAAAAACAAAACCAAAGAGATTGACGTCGAGTATGAACCTCTTCATCATAGCACCACATTTGATCTCCAGGAGCAAAAAGCACCTGCAAATTCCACAAGCAACAAATTTTGGCTTGTTTGCAGGTACCCCCTCCTCTATCCGTCCTTCTAGCATCCCTGTTGTGAAGGAGGACTGCAACTGCTCCAATGTCAAAATCTTCGCCCTATATGGGGTAGAACGAGTTACCTACTCCAAGGCGGGGTTCATGTATGTCTATACATTTTACATCGGGTCCCTTCACCTTGGGGGTCAAGCGAAGGACTTAACCTAATAATTTTGGAATTTTGCCACTGGTACCATGTATGTTTGGCACAAGTAAGCCCATCCATATGGCACACGGCGGCATGCCTTTGACAGTTGTGCATCGAGATAGAGGAAACCCTAACTCTCACACATTTGATGAATCTTTACTGCCCCGAGATTTTTTCGTGGGGAATGTTAAACTTCAGCAAGTATGGTCACCACGCTCTTCTCACCAGCACAGATGATGACAACGACTGTGGATGGATGGAGCAGTTCCATGTTATTGCTACAAGGAACATCATCCCGATCACCAGCTCCAGCTTTCCCTAAATCATGGAATCTTTTTCGTAAGTCTTCGGGTATTCGTTTCCTTTCTTCGTAAAAAGATAATTTCTTGCTTTGCTGATTTTTTACTCCCTTAATTTCAGCTACTCACTGCGAACTACCATGGATTCATAGTCTGGATCGATGGGTTTAGAAAATTCTGGATATTATAACTTCGGAATCCCGACGGTGGAAAGAAATGGCTCCTAAATACGGGTGGAGAGCCAAGAACGATGGTGAGAAAAATTCCTAATTCTTTCAATTGTATTTGTGTAAAACGATTTAAGAACAATTCTTTTTTGCTTTTATAGGGATTCCTAAGAATTCAGTTGTGTACCCCAACGTCGACGCTCTCGATGACCACGAGGAGGCCGAGCGAGTACTGTATAATTCCCTTAACCAGAGCAAGGCTCGTGGATCTACTCGAGCCACTATCGAGTATGCATCTCTCGGGGTCCCCAGCACAAAAATAAGAAACTGAAGAGGAAACGTTCCTCTTCGGTTGAGACTCAGGAGAAAAGAATAAATAAAACACCAACCGAGCCGACCACAGTGGTCCTCGATGATGAAGAGGAAGCCAATAATGAAAAGGTTTCCCTTCAAAAGAGAGAACGACCTTCATCAGCTCAATCGGATGCTCAACCGGGGAAGCTCCAAAATCCACCAGTAGAAGTTCGGGCGCTCTGGGGGAAATGGACTTAATTGAGAATGTCGATTCTCGATTTTCGATCACTGTTGTCATCTCCGGTCAGAGGAGCTTGGCCGCTGACCTCCTTCTGCCATCAACTTCTGAGCCAGTAAGAACTACCACTCCTTCTACCACAGTTGTTTCTTCTCCGTCAACACCAATATCTTCTTATACATTAACAACAGCCACCCGTTCTCCACCAGCACTGACTGCTTATATTCCACCGGCTTTAGCTAAAAAAGTAGGGAATACTTCTCCTTCATAGTCTCCCGACCACGGGAACTTGGGAAACACGTACTCGGCCCCTTCTCAAGATCCTCATGGAAGGCGAAGTGATACTTTTTCGATTTTGAAAGAGTGTCATATTCTCTCTAAGCCAGCGGAGCTTGCTAATTACCTGAAGCTGCTAGCTTCGGTTAAGGACTGGAAAAAGATAGACTCCCTTTATAGGGAGTGCCTAATAAACAACAGTATGCACTGCTCGGTGCAGGTAATAATCTCACCTTTTTCTAACTTCTTCCTATTTACTCTCCAAAGTAATAATCTTGATCATGTCCCTTTTTCAGGCCAATCTTCTCGTCTCCAAGGACCTGCAAAGGTTGATTCTGGACAAGTAAAAGCTTATTTTAGAACGAGAACAACTGTTGGCTAAGAGGAATCAACTCGTTGAGTGTCTCCCGGTGCTGGAGGACAAAGTTACTCAAATTGATGAGCTTGAGGCACGACTGCAGCAGTCTGAGCAAGACAGGATGGCTCATAGCCAAGAAGCCGCCTAGCTTCAAGAGAACCTTAACAAAGCAAAGGCTAAGTAAGATGAGCTTCATGATGTTATGAGTGTTATTATTGAACGTGAATCAGCCTTCATGGAACAAGTTAGTAACTTAGAGGCTGGTTTGCATGCCAAAACCAAGGAGGCCCATACTGCCGAGAAGAAGAGGGCAAAAATGGAAGAGAGTCTCAAGAGAGT